GACTGCGCCACTGGGACCTTCGGCGGAGCTCCTATGGGGCCACGAAGCGCGTGAGGGGTGTGCCGAATTGAATGGCGGGGGCGCGTGCGAACTGTGCCACTGGGATCTTCGGCGGAGCTCCTATGGGGCCACGGGACGTGTGGGGGGTGCCGAAATGAGTCGCGGAGACGCATGCGAACTGTGCCAGTGGGACCTTCGGCGGAGGTCCAATGGGACCTTGAAACGTGTGAGGGGCGTGCCGACATGGATGGCGGGGACTCATGCGAATTGTGCCACTGGGACCTTCGGCGGAGCTCCTATGGGGCCACGGGACGTGTGAGGGGTGTGCCGAAATGAGCAACGGGGACGCATGCGAACTGTGCCAGTGGGACTTTCGGCGGAGCTCCTATGGGGCCACGAAACGTGTGGGGCGCGTGCCGAAATAAATGGCGGGGGCGCATGCGAGCTGTGCCACTGGGACCTTCGGCGGAGCTCCTATGGGGCCACGAAACGTGTGAGGGGTGTGCCGAAATGAGTCGCGGGGACGCATGCGAGCTGTGCCAGTGGGACCTTCGGCGGAGCTCCTATGGGGCCACGAAACGTGTGGGGGGTGTGCCGACATGAGTGGCGGGGACGCAAGCGAACTGTGCCACTGAGACCTTCGGCTGAGCTCCTGTGGGGCCGCGAAAGGTGTGAGTGGTGTGCCGAAATGAGTGGCGGGGACGCATGCGAATTGTGCCACGGGGACCTTCGGCGGAGCTCCTATGGCGCCACGGAACGTGTGAGCGATGTGCCGAAATGAGTGGCGGGGACACAGGCGGACTGTGCCACTGGGACCTTCGGCGGAGCTCCTATGGGGCCACGAAGCGCGTGAGGGGTGTGCCGAAATGAGTCACGGGGGCGCGTGCGGACTGCGCCACTGGGACCTTCGGCGGGGCTCCTACCGGGCCACGAAACGTGTGAGGGGTGTGCCGAAATGAACCGCGGGGGCGCATGCGAATTGTGCAAGCGGGACCTTCGGCGGAGCTCCTATGGGGCCACGAAGCGTGCGAGGGGCGTGCCGAAATGAGCAGCGGGGACGCTTGCGAACTGTGCCATTGAGACCTTCGGCGGAGCTCCTATGGGGCCACGAAGCGTGTGAGGGGTGTGCCGACATGAATGGCGGGGACGCGTGCGAACTGTGCCACTTGGACCTTCGGCGGAGCTCCTATGGGGCCACGAAACGTGTGAGGGGTGTGCCGAAATGAGTCACGGGGACACATGCGAGCTGTGCCAGTGGGACTTTCGGCGGAGCCCCTGTGGGGCCACGAAACGTGTGAGGGGTGTGCCGACATGAGCGGCGGGGACGCATGCGAGCTGTGCCACTGGGACCTTCGACGGAACTCCTATGGGGCCACGAAACGTATGACGGGTGCGCCGACATGAGTGGCGGGGACGCATGCGGACTGTGCCATTGTGACCTTCGGCGGAGCTCCTATGGGGCCACGAAGCGTGTATGGTGTGTGCCGAAATGAGTGGCGGGGACGCATGCGAACTGTGCCGGTGGGACCTTCGGCGGAGCTCCTATGGGGCCACGAAACGTGTGAGGGGTGTGCCGACATGAGTGGCGGGGTCGCATGCGAACTGTGCCACTGGGACCTTCGGCGGAGCTCTTATGGGGCCACGAAACGTGTGAGGGGTGTGCCGAAATGAGTGGCGGGGACGCATGCAAACTGTGCCATTGGGACCTTCGGCGGAGCTCCCATGGGGCCACGAAACGTGTGAGGGGTGTGCCGACATGAGTGGCGGGGACGCATGCGAACTGTGCCACTGGCACCTTCGGCGGAGCTCCTTATGGGGTAACGAAACGTGTGTTGATGTTGATGATGCTGATGTTGATGATGATGACGACGACGACGATGATGATGATGATGATGATGATGATGATGATGATGATGATGATGATGATGATGATGATGATGATGATGATGATGATGATGATGAGAGGAGGGGAGGAGGGAGGAGGGAGGAGGAGGATGAGGAGACGCGGGGACCGTGTCTTCAAAACGAGGACCCAACAACACAGGTTGGTTGGGAACAAATTCAACATCGTAGGAAAATCACGTTTGGAACTCCAGATCCCATCCTTCTGCGTCCTTAAGTCGAGCCGGATCGATCTGCAAGGGCCCCATGGCCCGAAGTCGAGCGGAAACGCGCGTTGTGAAAGAGTTGCAGCGCCAGGATCTCGGGGTAATTTTGGTGCTCGGCCGTGGGGGGGAAGCCCTGCCCGCGCGGGCCTCGCGGGGGCCCCCCACGGGGGGGGGGCGGGTGGCATGGCCCGGTGGGGTCCGGCTCTGCGGGGGCCCCGCGGCGTCGAGGGGGCCGGGGGACTTTGGGGCCCGTCGCCGCCCGTGGTGGCGCCAGTCCGAGTGCACTCGGCCCCCTCCCCCCCCCCTTTAAGCTTCTCGAAGGCGAAGGTAGCGGCATGAACATAAACTTTTGGCGCTCCGCGCGGGCTTGTTGGATCCGCGTGGGGCCCTCCCGGCGGCGCCTCCGGCGCCGCCCCTGGCGCGCTCCGCGCGCCAGGGAGAGGGAGGGGTCCAGCGCAGACCCAAGAAGTCCGCGCGGACCGTCGAAAGTTTATGTTTACGTCGTTTCCTTGTTCCTCTCATTAAATCTGGATGCGCTCGGCCCCCCCCCCCGTGCTTCGGTGCCTGGACAAGAAGTTTCCACACCCATGGCGGTAATGCGATGCAAAATAATAAGAACCACAGCTGCGAAGTTCCCTTTCTTCGCACCCCTCCATATCCCTCCATTACCAAACCCAATGTTCAAGTGTCTACATTTTGTCCCTGGCCTTTGGCCTACCGCCCAAACCAGTCAACTTTGAATCTGGGGGAGGGGGGGTATACATTTGGGTCCGACGTGCCATGATAACTCAAGATCTTGGCGAGACACGCGCGGATCCTTTCCATCCGCCCACCGCTCTGGGCCTCCCGCATGGGGTCCGAACAGATTGGGTCGTAGGAGGCTGTTTTTGGAAGGGTCTGGCGATCACCCGCGTCTTCGAGCCCGCCTGCCCCCCTGCCCTCCCCCTCGATCGCGTGACCCTGTGGGGGCGCGCAGGTCCGCGTGTGGGCGCAGGTGCCGGTGCGCGCGGGCATGCGTGGGGATCCCCAGCGCGAGAAGATCTGGTTTTATCGGCCGGCACCTCCCCCACAGGGGGATGAGTAATGAGGGATTTGGAGTAACCCAGGCCTTCTCAGCAAAGCTGGAACGGCTTCAGGGACCGCTCCACAGCGACGATGCACCGCCGCTGCGGCGCGATGCGAAGCTCGATATTCTCCACCCCGACGTCGCCGATTCATCGGCGATGCGGCGCGTTCCTCCGACCCCATGTACTGGGACCCCATTGAGGAGGCCTCTATTGCTCGTCCGCGGCTGCGGGGGGTCTGGTGTTTTCTCTGTCGCGCCGCGACGTGCCACTCAGTGGCTCGAGGGAAGGATCACGCTGACCATGACCAAGATGTCGCGGGATCTTGTCGACGCCGATGTTGGTCATGGTCCATGCCGGCCGTCGCCGATCCGCGAGGCTGACCCATGAATCGACGCTGACCAAGATGGACGGTGACCAGTCAAGACTGGCACGACTTTCCGCGTTCGGTGGCAGCGGGGGCTTCCTCCGGCCGCCCGATGCGCCCTCGGCATGCCAGTCCACGCAGCTGCAGGTCGGCCACAGCTGGGGGAGCTGCGGTCTCTGCCCCCCCCCCCTGTGGGAGGGCCCGCTGGCTTCGGCAGCTCTCTCGAGACCCTGAGATCCGACGCCTTGCACAAATCTTGAGGCGCCGTGAAAAACCGAGCCTGGAGCCTAATACAGACCCTGCCTGTCTGCGCCATGCTCCGAGCCGCATCGGTCTGTGAGGGCCCCGGGGCCCGGAAATCTCTACGCGAAAGCGCCCGGCTCGAAAACAAAGTTGCTCCGCCAGGAGCTCTCGGGGGGGAGCGCCGGCACGCTCGGCTCCCCCGGCCCGCGGGCCGGCTCGGCCGGCGCCTATACGCCCCCCGGGATGCCCGGGCACCCCATGGGCGGGGCGGCCCAGCTTTTCGCGGCCACTCCCCGCGCGCTGCAGAGCAGAAGCCGGAAGACGTGTTCCCCCCATGAGGTCCGACGCTGCAACAAAAGGAATTGGAGCGGGCGGCTTGGGGGGCCGAGTCTTCGGCCTCCGAGAGGGCCCTCGCGCTGGGCCTCGGGGCCGTCAGAGAACGGCTCGGGACGAAAAACCGGCCCTGTGGGGAAGTGGTCCGGACCTGCGGGGCCCACGCATCGAACGAATTGGAGCAGCCGGATGTCTGGGTCCCCAGATCATTCTGGTCGTCCAGGCCCACGTCGGGCCCCACAGGACGCCCAGGAAGTCCCAGCCGTAAGGATAGCCGGGCCCCCAGGGAAGGCGTCGAGAGAGTCGAGGGTTTTTGGGGCCCACGCTGTGAAATCATGGGCACGTCGGTGAGCATGGGGCCCACCCTTGCGGCCACCGTCTCTCCTCCTCGACCTTCTCCCCTCGTCCTGCTCCCTCCTTCTTCGTCCTTCTCATCTCTCTCTCTCGCTCTCTCGCTCTCTCCCCCCGTTCTTGCCCTCAGTCCCTCCCGTTGGAAGCACCGCGAACCGTCGCCGCATGTGTGCAACCGCGGACCACCCTTGCGACAGGTCTGGGCCGCATGCGGGGGTTGTTGGTAGCGCCAGTTTCGCCCATGCACTTGGAAAGCGCAGCCAGTAATCCAGAAGTGGGCGAACAGGCTGGGTCTTCGAGAGTGTAACTTTGAGGACTTGCCAGAACCACCTCTTTTGTTTGTTGAGGTGGAGACGGGGAGAATTCAAAACGTGCGGGACGGGAGCTTGTGGTTGGTAATTCACACTCAGCGGTGTTGCATCAGGTGCCACGTTGCACCTACAGCGCCACGGCAATGATCAGGGTGTCAAGCCTAGCGCTAGTTCGGAAAGATGTATTAATAGCCTAGGAGTTGCCCAGATGTATCGTTTGTAGCAGGGAGGCATCACAGACAATGGGTGCATTGTCGCGCTGTCGGTCAACACAGCGCGGAGAGTAGATTCTGCAGCCATTGGGGTCAAGGAAGTGCTCAGGCTCGAACCGGAGCCCGATGGCACAGGAATCGATGGTAGTGCAAAGCGAGTTTCGTTAGGCGCCCATCGCTGGGGAGGTTGCTCCTGTCCGCACGCAAAAGCAGGACGCCGCCTCCACAATGGACAGCCTACCCCCCCTGGCGAACGGCGACTCTTTAAACTTTCGCAGTTTCGCTGCCAGGCTGTCGCGTAACAACTCGCACCTCAAGGCAGATGATGAAGAGGAAACGTGCTCTGACGAGGACGCACGTCCTAAGAAGATTCCATCGCGACTCTCTCTTCTGAGTCTGACGAAGGGTGGCGGGTCTATCTTCGCAGACGCCGAGGACATGAAGGAGCGACTGAAGGCGAAATTGAAGCACAAGCAATACAACGTGGCAGATTTCTACAAGGAGTCAGGCTGTTGGCAACAAATTGCGCGAGACCCACGGTTTGACAGCTTCACGCTTGTTGTTATTTTCTTGAACGCGATTTGGATATGGATTGACACCGACTACAACCATGCAGAGTCGGGATTGTTGGACGCGTCTGTAGAGTTTGTTGTTGGCGAGAATGCGTTTTGCGCCTATTTTTTTTTCGAGTGGCTGGTTCGTTTCATGTCCTTCCAAGTGAAGCAGAATTGCCTCAGAGATTCGTGGATGGTTTTCGATTCGACCCTCGTGCTCTTCATGGTGCTGGAGGTTTGGGTTCTCAATATGGTGCTGTTCGTGATGGGAGGGGCAGGAGGTGCTGGACTGGGGAATGCCTCCATCCTCCGTATGGCACGTCTCCTGAGGCTCACACGCATGGCGCGCATGGCGCGCCTCCTTCGAGCCGTGCCCGAGCTCATGACAATGGTCCGCGGCGTGATGGCGTCCACACGCTCGGTGGCCCTGGCATCCATATTGCTTTTCGGCATCATGTACGTGTTCGGAATCGCCCTACGGCAGCTCACCGACGAGTCGGCCGTTGGGGAGCAGCTGTTCGAGAGCGTTCCGGAAGCGATGACGACGCTGTTGATCGACGGCGTGTTCCTCGACAAGTTTGGTCGGGTCATTCGCAAGCTTGGGGACCAGAGCATATGGTCCGCCTGTACGTTCCAGATATCCAGTGGCGCTGCCGCGCAATTCCGCCACCCCGCTCGGGCGGGCACCCAGGGCATCCAGGGGGGGAGGGGGCGCGCGCTGGGGTGGGGGGTGCACTGAAGGTCCCTCTCCCGACCTCGTGTTTGGGCACATGTTCGGCCTGGAAGGCCAAAAACGCAGGGACTTGGTCATACAAATGAAGGCATCTTGGACTCGATGCGTCGGGGGGCCCCAATTATTGCTTCGCAAAGGGCGAGGGGGCCCGACACACACACACACCTGCCGCTGCCAGCGCGGTGGCGGATTCGTGTGCCTTGCGACGCTCACAGTGATGAATATGAACGGCTTCGCCCTTGGCAGCCGCCCCCCCTGGCTTGAGGTCCGTACAGTCGGGCCGCTGAAGAAGGACACCTTTTCTTTGGGGAGTGGCTCAGCGTTTCTGAACTATTTCACAGCTTGTCTTAGATTTTCACGTGGCCTTCTATGGGAAATCGAAGTTTAACTTCTGGAATCAAGGAGCCTCGTTCCTTATTTCGGGTTCCTTCTGACATCGTTTCGACTACACGGTTGGAGTTTGTTGGCGTTGTTGAAGCTACTTTGGAGCTTCTGGGTGAAATTCTTCGGACTTTGTTAGGTTATTCGGGCATTCAGGACCACATTCGGGATGTCTCTGGCGAATCCCGGGAGCATGTTGCGGCCTCAAGAGCATGTTGGGACAATGTTGGATGGTCCGAGTGCGGCGAATGAGAGTTTAATGTCGCATCCTTTTCAGTAGCACCTGAGGTAATATGACTGGGCGTTGTAAGTGTTGTTCTGCACCTTGTAGAACATGAGGTCGTGTGGTCAATGCGAAAGTATATGCATGTACTGTTTCGGTACATTTAAAGGCGAGCGTTCTCCAACTATGTTCTACTTGCTAGAATGGGTGCATCTGGCCGCCAATGGCGGCCCATACTACGAGACGTATGTACTCGTATCCACTGGAATGTAGCATGCATGTACCAAGACATACGCACTTGATTAATGATCGGAGCTCCTTACCCTCGCAGCCTGGTGGTCCCAACAGGGGGTATGGCGAATATGTTGATCGGGATTGTGTGTGAGCTCGTGGCCAACGTCGCAGCCATGGAAAAGGACACGCGAACCATCGCGCAAGTGAAAGAAAAGGTATTGCAGGTACTGAGAAGGATCGACAGCGACTCGGACGGCAAGATCTCACGGGACGAGTTCATCAAGCTGGTCGACGAGGAAGAGTGTTTGGCTGCGCTGACTGAGGTCGGCGTAGACGTTGTCGGACTCATGGACCTCTTAGATATCATTTTCAAGAGGGGCGATGAGAAGACCAAGGAAGAGAACACTGAAGACGGGATTACGTTCACTTTCGACGAGTTCATTGAGACGGTTTACGGCCTGCGAGGTTCGAACCGCGCTTCGGTGAAGGACATCGTCGACCTTCGAATGTTTATCCACCAGGGGTTTGCCCGCTTGGAGGGCAGGGTCTCGGAGCTCTCGGCAGATTCCACGAAGGCGACACAGGCCAGGAACGCAGTCCAGGGTTGCCCGCTGGAGGTCACGCAGAGCCTGGAGGCCCGCCTGGGCCGCCTGGACGACCGCGTGCAGCGCATCCTGCAGCTGCTGGAGGGCCATACAGTGGAGACCCGTGCCAAGACACACCCCGCTTGCACCCAGGGTGCCCCGGGTTTCTTGGGCTTCGATGGTTCTGCGATGGGAAGCGTGACGTCCCCACACCAAACATCAGGGGACGTCCTGGGGTCTCGGGGCGGGGTCTCTCGTGGAAACTTTCTTCTGGACTTGGCCTCCACTGTACACAGGCGGGCATCCCGCGCACGAGGCTGTGAAGGCAGCACGCGGGGCACGCCCTGCTCCAAGGCGGCCTGGCTGCGGAGAGCTCCAGCTGCAGGGCTCGACCCAAACGGCGTTTCAGCGATCTCGTGGCCCGGTGTCGTGTTGAGTCCGTTTTGCAGCACAGGTGGAGCGAAGGCAGCACGAGGGAAAACGAAGCCACAACGAAAACGGAAAACACTGGTTAGGTCGAACCTTGTCCTGCTCGCAAGCAAGCATCAGCGGTGCAGAGCTGTCTGTTGCGTCATCCCCGTTACTCGCAGCCCCCCGCCGCTGAATTCCGCACGTACAGTGCGCCCAGCGGCAAGTTTTCCCATGTTCGCGCGGGGCCATCATCTTACAGCGTTGCGCACACGGCAGGTCCGATCGTATAGCTTCTTATATTCGCGAGTGCTTTGTTTTTCTCTCGGCATCGATTTGCCATGAGTTGCCAGCGCATGGTTTTCCGTGCCCAGTCGGCATTCGTTCTTGAGTATCGAGTTTTCGAGAGGTCCCATAGAGTACGGCGTACGGCAGGTGCATGGCCACGAGCTTGCGTGATGTGTCGTTGGTGCGTTCTGTTTGGCTTTGCCATTCGAGCGAGGATGCTATGTGAGGAAGGGTG